TAAATAATTAATTTCAATATCCAGAAAACTTGCGATCTGTATAAGTTATACATTTTTTATTTCAGTAAATTAATAATTTATTGGGGGAAGACACGGAAAGATTCTGGGCTCGACTCCTGGGCAAGGACGTATTTTCGCGTTGAGATTTTTTGTTTGTTTTTTTTTTTTTTTTTATTTCACTGGAAAGTTAAATGGGCAATTCACATCTACGCGCGAGATGCAAAGTAGCATCCTGTATTTTACAATTGTTGTTCCATTTGAATTTTCTATGCGCATTATTTCGCATAAAGTTCTATTTTTTCTATCTTAACAATTTATTCTCCAACTTTGACGTTGAAGAATAACCATCACATTTGAAATCCCGGACCGTCAAATTCAGAACTGTCCGGGTCAATTCCTGGTTATAATACAATTGCCGACTCGCGTAAAAAAAATAACAAAGCATCTTTCAAAATTTCTCTGAAAAATGTCTCTCTCTCTCGAAGACTTCTCTCCTACGGATTTTACATTTTTTTTTTTTTTTTTTTTCACGAAGGTGGACGAGAACGCGACACAGTCTTTCTTTCCAGGACGCACGCGTCTTGTTACGTAGCCCGTCGAGCGGTCGAGACCATTCGTGACGCGCTTTTCCGTATTGGGTTGAAACGCGAAGGGGTGGCGTGCGGCCGCGGCGTCTCTCGTGCTCGTTATCGTCCGGTTTCGCGAAATGCTGTACGCTCCCCCGCTTCTTTCCTCTCGTCCGCGTTACACACATATCGAGTTAATTCGTAATTATTATCGTTCGATGTTTCTCACACGGCGCGCGCGTTGTGCGCGCGCGAAACAAATTCGGCGCTCGATAGAGCACCGCGTATTCCTCTTCCTCTTCTCCCGTCGTCTCGTTCTTAATTGGTACATCGAGTTCACGTCGCGTGCTTCTCTCTTCGTCTTTTTCCACTCGAGGGAGTGTCGCGGAGACGAAAACTCGTCCGCTCGCTTTCACATCGATTTTCATGTCGCTCTTCAATGTCGCAGCGCTCCTCCACGTCGCGGAGGTAGTTAAATTCTAGCGGGAGCATCTTCAATTTGTGAAAAGAGCGCTCATTGTAAATACTTACACAACCGCGAAGATGTGTAAGAATGTTCCTTTCAGAAAACGTTAACGTTCAAAGCGATCAGCGATAAACTCGAATCTTTTCTGCTGCTTTCTCTCGCCTTTCTCCTCACCCTCCTCCTCCTCCTCCTCTTCCTTCTTCCTCTCTTTTCACATCTTCCTGTTTATTTCTATTGATCGACTTTGAATACCGCCGTGATACGTAATACGTATCTATATGTATCGATCTCGATTTAATTGGGTCTTGCGGGTTCTCGCAAACGATGTATTTATTCATCGCGCTCGCAGGAAACACGCCGCGTTAAACCGAAAGGGAGTAGGGGAACTCGCGAAATTAACAGTTTACCGACTCTCTACTCTCGTTCCTCTCGCACAACACATATATTTCCGCGCGCAAAGACACTGCACTCTCACGGTCCCTCTCTCTCTCACACACGGTGCCGCGAGCACTTTGTACGGTAACGCGCCGATGAATATTTAAATCGTCCGTTACCGACGACGGTACAATATTTACCGCTCTGTCAGTGGTACGATTAAAGCTTGACGCGTAAATAACATTTTAATATTTCACTGCGTGCGCCGCGTTCTCGTCCCGCATATCTCATAAGAAACATTCATCTAAAAATCAAACCCGCGCGCGCGCGTGCGCGTGAATCATCATCTCACGGGTGCGATATTTATTGTATGCACTTGTATCGTGAGATGACGACGACGACGACGACGACGACGGAATATCTTGAAATGAATTCGAGCGCGAGCCAAGCGCTTTTCACTCGCCTCATATTCGCGATTCGCGCGTTTTCGATGACGTGCCGCTTAGGCAACGGGAATGCCACGTTGTGTAATTCGCACAATAGATGCACTGGCATTTATTAATGAGAACACACAACGCACGTTCGAAAACTATTGTCCCTGTTTTACAGCTATCGGTTTTGCCTGATAAATTGGAGGTAAGAACAAACGATCGTCGGTTTTCAGAGAGACAGAGAGAGAGAGAGAGAGAGAAATATTTGAGCTCCATCGGACACTGCGCGATGATTGTCCGCGAAATTAAATTTCCGTCAAAGTTCGTGAAAAAAAAAAAAAATAATAATAGTTTTATTGAGCACACACACGGTAAAAAAAAGAATTGTAAAATAATATATTAAATAAATTATAAAATATTTGATAAAACATATTAAACATAAATTAGAAAAAAAAAATAACAGTGACTCAAAGGCATTATCTGCTGAATTGAAGCCTCGTCCCAAAATGTAACTAAAATACCAACAAAGATATACTACACGTTATATGAATGTCTTTTTTATTTCTCACATCTGTTTCGTTTGTTTTCAATAAAAGGGGTTGCGAGGATTATTCTCTCTCTTCGTGTCGGGAAAGCAGCTTTTCTCGAGTCACGAGCACTCGTCGTGCGAAATGACCGTGACTGAACGATATAGGTGTAGGTTTGTGTATCCGCAAAGTAAAGGCTAATCGATATTTATCGATCGTCCGTGCCGAAGGCGAGCAAAGGACACGCTTTAACAAGAATTCTTTGACATTCGCAATCGCTCTTCAATAAACCACATGTTTACTATTTACCATCACGGTTGGCGATCGCAACAGAGTGGGGAAAAAAAAAAAAAGAAATAAAATATGTACCAAAAATATCAAATCGCCGTGACAATCTGTGTATAAAACGCGTGTGTTTATTTATATCCACAAACACACTTCCGACAAATGGTTATTTGCTCACGCGCATTTCGAGTCATTAATTTTATTAATATATTTGTGAGAGAGAAGAACAGAATTATCGCTCGTTAATTGTGTCGCAATCGTGTTGTTCTATTGTTATTTTTGTCGTCGTTGTTGGGAAGAGAAGTTTGGGAAACGAAGATCTCTCGAAACAACACGTATATGTAACAGTTACACCGACGTTAGATAACCAACTCTGATAAGTTGGACAAAGAAAAAGCGCGTTAATGTCGCGCACAGTTGCGAATTACATTCAGTCGAATGGAAATGACTTCGCTTAAACGATATGACGGACAACCGTCAAATGGCGGCGCGCGAATTATCATCGCGCGCGTTTTGTCGATCAAAATCTGTGATCGGCCGATCGTAGGTCAGGGCCAGTCGCGTCGTAAAAACGACGAAAAAAAAAGAAAAAAAAAGAAAAAACGAGGAAAAAACAACAACGAACATAATCCGATAAATGTCACACTTCACACAGAACGATAGCGCGCGACAGTCATGTATTTTGCCAGCGGTTCTCCATTTTTTTTCTCCTCAAAACTCGCTCGGCTCGTCACTCACGACCTCGATGCCGCCTGACCGAGCAGAATAAAAGCGATCCGGAGTTCGTTTACATCGGGGGAGGGTTGCTGCTGCGATCGCGTGAGACTGCAGTTCTTACAGATGGTTGAAACCCGCGGCGAGAGCCGCACTCTCGCCGCACATTTTAGCGCGATCGTACATGTGCAATGTTTTTTTTCATCTCGCGGTGACATTGAATGCAACGCGCACAGATCGAACGTTCGGAGACATAAGAGAAGGGATTTAAATAAAAAGTAATAGATAATGTTTTTTAAACAAACATAATAAAATAAAAAGTTATATCCGAAGCGAATTATGCAAATCTGAGCTTCAATTGTTGTTAAATAAAATGACGTAGACTCTGTGCGAGTTGTTAAAAAAAAAAAATTCGCGATTGTCTCTTTATTTGTTTCTCTCTCAATTTTTTTTCACAATTCTCGTCTATTCGGGCTGACAAAGTGACCAAAAAACTCGCATCGTCGTTCCGCGATGTTTGAAACTCGTTTTTTTTTTTTTTTTGCACGCTCGTTTCTCGTCGCGTTAATAAATGTTTCATCGTAAGACGAACTCGATTGCGCGGCGCGTCACTGTCATATTATATCGGTTAGCCTATTTATATTTAAAGTCGTGACGCGCGACAATACGAACAAAATACAAAGCGTCGCGCGACGACGAACACACACGCTCGCGACGAGCTGCTCTGTTGCAAAGTGTGCGACGAACTCGAAACTCAATTGCGAATAGCGTCGCTTGTACATTTGTGCGTTGGAAAAGGAGGGAGCACTTATTAAACACTCGAACAAATATTACAGAGTAGTATTTCTACCGCCAGCTTCTGTGTGTAGTGCATTGTATCATTTGAAACCATTTGTTGTTGGTTGTTGGAAACCAAATTTGCTGCTGCTGCTGCTGCTCGTTCTCTTTTTCTTTCAGGAAAAAAGAAAAATAATAATAAGCGCGCGAAACTGAAATTTTCTGTCTTTAATGAGTAATTCCGCGCCTTCGACGACGATAATCCCGCATTTGCAAAGCGACTCGAGCGCGGTGTTACACGCGGGGTGGAGGAAGGAGAGGGAGGGAGTGCATTTTCTCAGAAAGCATTCTCACAGCTGAGAGATAATATTCCATATCTCTCATCTCTCCATTCACACCGTTGAGGAATAGAATATCAAGAGTCACGTTCTTTACAAGTAGATTCGCACCGAAAAACGAGAAAGAGGATGTCGCATAAAAGAAATGTATATGCAAAACTTAGTTTGAATTTTCTCCAATTTTATTTGTCTCAAGCTTCAAGTATAAAAGATCTAGAGTATCTTTTTTTTTCTCTCTCTCTCTCTCTCTCTCTTTCTATCTAAAGCATTTGTCTGTGAAAAAGCAATGCGCATTGTGAGTGTCGGAAGTCTTTTTAATTTTGAGAAGGGAGAGGAGAGACGTCGGGGATAAATCGGGCTGTGAGCGCTCCCGATTGCGCTCCCGGTCCGAATCACGGACCGGGACTTTTACGACGATTACGAGAGATCATGATGATAACGAGACTCGCGTGATCGACCGATCAGATTACACCTCCGAAAACAACGCACGCGGGCAACAAGTAACCAAGTGATGGCCTCACCTCGCGCGCCCTCCGTCCGGAGGACAGGGTCGAAGTAGGCCACCGGAACTCTCTCCGAAACTTCAGACCCTAGTGGTAGTTCCCCGCGTGGCGGACGCACGAACGCGAGTTCTTGCTTCCATCTTCCGTGCACGTGTTGTCGGCGTTAAGTTTCCCGATCGGCATATGCACGCGACGGTGGCTATCACCCCCGCGGCGCGATGACCACCAGTCGTGGCCGCTGTTACGTGTACATCGAATGGGATTCGGATTCGGACAAAAAACCGGATTCGGCACTCGGAGAGTCCACAAGAAAGAGCTTTTTTGCAATTACCGAAGATCGAGAGACACGCGATTTAACCCTTTCAAATGTTCTCGGGCAATCCCCGCAGCATGATCGTTCCGAATATTCACCGTCGCAGAATCACCTCGCTCGCAATTACACTCGGCAAATCCGACCCGATCGTCTCGGACGATAATCTGCATACAGAGGTGGCGGTGCGACCCGATCGTCCCTGACGATAAGACGCGGCTCCCGCGAAATCCGAGGTGGAAGATGTCCTTGACGATTAGGATCACCGTGGACACTCTCGACGTGGACACAAATTCACCGAGACATCTTTAACTGCGTCGTCGTATCTCAACGATCGGCATTATTTGCGTCGTTCGACCGTCTGCAACACTGGTGTCATTCGTTTTTTCTCAGTCGTTCGTTTTTTTTTCTTGACGATTCTCGAAAAAGCACGATGATATTTGGAATAATTGAAGCAAGTTCGACGAAAGGGAGCACGAGCGAGAGTCACGTGCGACCGGCGGTCCTCAAGACGGAGATCTCGCGAAGCGTCGCCGATCTCCGCGCGATCGGCGTGTCCGCCGACATCGCTTCTTTCGGTTCTCTCGTACGTGTGTGTCACTTCCTCTCGCCGTCGTTCGCGGCCGCGCTCTTTCAAGGCGAATCGCCCGACGAACACGCGGCGAGGATTTAAGTGAGCGCCGGTGAGCGCCGCGACGCCGTTCACCGTCGTCAACCCCGTTCCGTCGACGCACGCGTGCGCACCAGGTGTGTTCGGAACTCCTCAGCGCGTTGGGGGTGGAGAATCGTTTTTCATGGAGTCATTATCAATTCACCTACTTTCTCTCATAATCATAAGCGACTCGAGGCGCCGCTAAAGCATCTCGATCAGAGCGACGAGAGCCGTTCGATCGCGGGAGACACGAGCCGCGCGCTCCGTACAATTCGTCAATCGAATTACATTCGCGCACAAACGCCGAACGAGAACGCGCGCGAACGGCTTCGAAGAAGACATCGGATTTGGTTTAATTTTTTATTTTTTTTTTAATTATCTCGAGAACGCGCGCGTACTTTTGCGCGCATCCGGTGTCATTAAATATCTGATTATCCGGGATTACCTATTATGCCGACGTTCGATGTACGTTCGAGTACGTCGTATTTCAAGCGCGATCCATCAGCAATATTATAATTGCGCAAATTCTTCTCGTACTAACAGTTCGATTATAATTTTTTTTTTTCGGAAATCTCTATCGTAGATTAAAAAATATCGCGAATAAAACAACGCGAGATGGCACATAGACAGCAATATAAACAAAAAAACGGACTGACATTTATTTTTTTTTCCCCGAAACTACGGGGAAAAAAAACGATTCGCCAGGACAGTAAGAAGATTATATAGTCACTACATGGCCGGCAGGAAACATTTGCTAAGCCTGTTGAGATTTTTGTTTCGCCAACGTTTTATTGATGACGAACAAAACATTCAGTAGATTTTTCTTCTCCGTGTGACGTCAATACTGTTTTTTTTTTTTTTTTTGCGTACGGAGTGGAATATGCACACGATTAATTTTACACGTTTATCACGTGACGAAACAAAATTTTCCTGTCTTCAAATCCGAGAGATCACACGTGCCTTTCGTTAATAATAACTTTGTTCGAGCAAGGCGTGAAGTTTTCCTATGACGGCGACGGATATTGTTCGCATCGCGCGGCAAATGTGGGGAATCATCGCGCGCATACAACTATTTGCAACAGCAATTCGTAAGTTTCGTTGCCGGACTATTATCAACTTATAATACAAGTTTCTTTATTAAAACAGGCGCAATAACGGCGCAAATAGTCTCTTCTCCGAATCGCCGCCGCGCGGCAAACTTCATATATTCCTCAACGCGACTCCACCGCGTCTTCTCTCTCTCTTTCTCTCTCTCTCTCTCTCTCTCGTTTGAATTATGCGGCGTATCGGCTGCCTGCTAATCCGTTGACACTTCGGAGTTCGTCAAAGGCAAGTTTGTGTCGTGAAACTTCTGTTACAGATGAGCGGCGCGGAACTTCAACTTCGTAAATACAGAAGCGGAAGAACATCTGTGGGTTGAGAAGAGGAGGGAGGAAGGGAGGAAAGTGAAACTATAGCGATTAGATAAAGCAATTGAAAATCATCGTTAAAACAGAAGAATCATAATTTAATTTACTTTGGTTATTACTCGATTGATTGCGTTGCTCGAATTGTCGTTCGAGCGTTTAAACGCGTCTCACTTGTAAATTTCGCGCGACATTGTCGTAATTAATTGTTTTCCGTGTTGAACGGAACAAAAACGCGGCCGCGTTTCGTCTGAAAAAACGAAAAGCAATCTGCAAAAGAGATACGTATATATTTTCTAAACACGTAGAGGAGTCTAGTTCGCGCGCCCGTGTGGAGGAGTCTTCGTTCGCGCATCGATCCGGTTGACAAGCGGCTCTGGAAAATGCGTTTCACGTATCCGATGCAGTCGCAGCAACCGTACCTGACAGCAGTCGCCGCACACAAAGCATCAGCTACCGTGTCCTTTCCTTCGCTTTGACGTGCGACACAGGCCTTAGCCCAAAATTAACCCCATTACGCGAAGTAATGAGTGGAATATCGCGATGTCATGAACATCAAAAGACTAATTGAGACGAGACACAAGCCCGAATACTATTCTTGCGTTATTCGCTTGTTCGGAGCTTTATAATTTTTTTTTTTTTTTTTCTTATCTCTTTCTTCGCAAAGAACATCCGAGATGAAATAAATACGAACAAAAGCGCTCAAAGAGGCCAACGCTATGCGATTCAACTAATTTTTAATTTGATGTCTTCCACAGAACAATTTAATAATCAACATATATCTTTGATTTGACAATTTATTAAATCTTAAAAAATAACAAATACACACGCGCATCAGAAAATAAGGACATTTACACAACGCATGCGCGTATCGTCGCAAAAGTGTCGAAAGTTACTCTCTCATGCATTATCGAAAACGTTGATCGCGGCCACCGAGCCGAGGAGGTTGTCCTTGGGTGGCAATGACTGCACGAACAATAATGCGCCTGCATTAAGGCACGGTACGTTCCTATTCGACCTGAAACGAGAAAGCACTCTGCAGAAGCAGTTGTTCGTGACGTCACACCGCACTGTGTGTACTCCATATACTTTCCGTGCAACGAAGGAGTTAATTTTGGACCATAGTACTCAATCGCGCGCAATCTCCATCGATGCTGAACGCTTTTCGTGAGACACACGGGTGTGTCTCTGTGGGGACAGGGCAGCCACATGTATACACATGCACTTTAATGAGCAAAATAGCACGAGCGGTATAAAGAAGCCTTAATGTCATTAACGTCTCGGAGCATTTTGCCAATAAAAGAACTGTTTCCACACCCGTGGAAATTTTCACAATGCGAAAAAATTTGATCAAGTCAAAAACCTGATCAATTCTACAATATTTGTTAAATTGTTGAACGTTAAATAAAATTGATATCTTCGCACGAGCTAATAATTTGGATAATATAAAAACGCCTTCGAGGCAGACGAGGCTTTAAAACAAAAACCTAATAATTGAAATAGTCGAAAAAAATATATTAAAAAATTATTGTTAATTCTAAATATATTCTATTAAGTACATATTTATATACAATATATTTATTTATATTTTTATTATTTCTAAACATATTTCAAATAATAAAATATATTCTAAATATGTAAAAGACAAAAATATATGTTTATATTTTCATTATTTCTAAATATGTTTCTCAAAATAATATTTGGCGAGAAAACTTGGGATCGCAGGCATTCGTATTCACGAGAATTCACGTGGAAGCAGCATGAGAGAGATTCGGCTTCTTTATAACGAATACTATGTAATTTTTAATCGGCGGTGTCTAGCGCGCGGGAGTAAAGGCGCCCGTCGTGAGTGCGTGCTTGAATGGAGGTAATATCAGAGTGAATTTTCGGTGAGATCCGTCGGTTTGAAGAGGACAGGTAAAAGAGCCCCCAGTCTCCAGAATGACGTCGCAACGGAATGAACGGCCACGACGAGGACGGCGGTCGCACTCGATAAAAAGAGGAAAGAGGAAGGAAGAGGGAGCGAGCTCTCATCATTCTCCGCTAATATTTACTCCGCGCGGGCACAAAAACCACCCCTGGTCATCTAAAGAGCGATCCCTCTACTCACTCTCTCTTCTCACTCCTCTTCCCGTTCTCTATCTCTTTCTCTCTTTCTCTCTTTCTCTCTAGGGAGCACTGATAAAGATATACCGGAAGTCGCACGACCGCGCTTAACAACATTGGCGATATTCCGTGACTTGAGCGATCGTGACTCGCAAAAATCAACGTCGAAAACTCGGTGTTCTTAATAAGAACAAAGAACACGACGACGTTGTTATTTATTACGTTTTGGAAATTTAATGCAAAATGCGTGACACGCGTGCCGCGACACACAAACGCACGCACGCACGCACGCACGCACTCGTGTGTTTGAAAATTCGATTAAAAATGTGAATTACACGTGCGAAACAATTTTTTGTTTTTTGTGGTTTTAACGCGAGCGAAAGAATGTTTTATTTTACAACAAAATGTACATCTTCGAGAGATGTTGAAACAGTATTGAAATTTTTCGAGAAGTTGTACAACAAATACGTTAGAATTCAATTTATCAGCGACGACGTATCCTCGCGTTCGATATCGTACGCTTTTCAGTGCACAAGTTAGATTTTCCACGAGCATATATATTCGGACTCGATGCATCTTATCTAAAGGAATCATACGGTATGATCATACGCGGGTATTGAAAGCAATGGTTTTAGGTCAACTGGATTTATTCTCTCTCTTTGTTTTTTTTTTTTGTTTTTTTTGTACTATATTAAAATAATAAAATATCAAATGAGAATTCTTGTAGTGAAATATTTTCGAAATCGACAACCGTGGCTTTAAGACTTTAAAACAATTGTGTATACGTGCAGAGTACAAACAACGTTTCCTTTACTTTATGAAGAAAGCTTATAACAGTATTTAAAAGTAGCTTCTATAACAAACGTCGTTGTGGCGAGACACAAACTTAATTACTACGCTAATAAATTTGCTCGAGATAATATGATATCGCGATACGGCGCGCAAATCAATTTGGAATCGAACGTCAATTTTTCTTCTTTCTCTTCTCTCAACAGTATTTTATAAAATTAGGTAACAATATTTTTTTTTTCACCACAAGTTCTGTATATTTTCTCATTTGTAAATTGTTATTTACTTTCTCATGTGCCATGTTTTTTTTTAAATATCTAATCTCACGTGCATTGTCCTCACTTCTGTCGGTTCAAACAATTTGTTTACACAAGAAATAATATATTTTTTTCAGAACAGATTCTCCGAGGTGTAATGTCAAAAATGACCGTTTAACTAACACTATAATCGCTTATCTCGTCGTACAGATTATCCTAAAGCAAAAGATTGTTCAACAACGTCGACTTTGGTTTGCCCGTGACGTGAATCAGCAGATAGAATAAGGTAGATAAAGTCAACACGTCGGTCGATTCACTTGGTGAATTCACGCGCATTCACGCACGATATAACGCAAATATAGATATACGCGAATAAACGCAGCAGACAACGTCGGCACGTCTGAAGAAGCGAGGTCGAGGCTTTCAAACGGCCATGTAATCGAATTACCCGAGCTTCCGTCATCGATGTTGCCGGATAGGCGGGGCGGGATGGCAGGAGGCAGTTTGCAAAAGCTTTGCTCCCTCGGAGCAAAACTCCGCCTTCGTCTACCTGACTGAATTAGGCTTCGGTCCCCGGGTAAATGCTCGACTTTTTATTCCGTCGTTTCCTTTTTCGCCCGAGCACAAACGACCGTCGTCGTTCTCCGCCCGAGATCTACCGAGTCTATTTATTCGATTTTGTTCACGGGGGACGAGACTCGGAAGAGGAAGCTTCGCGCGCGAGTATAAATCTGAATCGCAAGTCGAGCAATTCACGACGTGGTCGTGAGAACTTTGGAACGCGTCGTGAAAATTCCGCGACGCTTTTTTTTTTCGCGCCGGATACATACGCGTGAGAGATCACGGTGTGAGAATTCACGTTACGGGTTCCGATGCTGATCGATCGATCGTTCGTTCGCTCGTTCGCTCGTTTGATTGGTAGATTTTTAGAAACAAACGAATTGTTACTTTGTTACCGACGCAATTTTGAATTGGAAGTCGGAAACGATCAAGCGAACGTAATTCCATTTGAACCGGCACATGTTTACACTTCTCCCGCGCGTGAACAACACGCGCGTACACATATTCCGCAAAACGAGAAGCGGAAATGAAAGTGGCACGGGAAATATCACTGTTTGTCTTTTGATTTTTTTTAAAGGAACAATTGAATTTATTTCGAATCGAAGTATTCGTTTTTTTTTTTTTTTTTGTACACACGGAAGGCAATAGTTATTGCGCGTGCGGCGTGTTGCGCGTCGATCGAGTGATCAGAAATCATCGGATGGAAAGCGCATCTGTGAAGAGAAAATTCGTACTTGAGTGTTTTTTTTGCATTTTCCATCAATTTTCATTTATTTGACTCGGAGTATCATTGAACAAAGTGAGATCTAATGAGAAAAAATTATTTTGCAGGAAAAAAGCATCTAAGATAATGTGCCCCGCAACGTAAGATATTTGTTAGTTCCGTATATTTTAATAAAACGTTAATAAAAATATCGATTTGTTCGATTTAATCGAAAGAGAGAGAGAGAGAGAGAGAGAGAGAGAGAGAGAGAGAGAAAGATAGATAGATAGATAGATAACGATAATGCTGATGATTCCTATCGGAAAACTATCTCGATATTATTGCGATGATAAAAGAAAACAACACAATCTAAGGAAGATATTTAAGAAGATTAACAATAAATGTGCGGAGGAATGCAGAGAAATGCAACGTCACGTGTGTTTTAGCATACTTACATTTAAGTAAAGAAATTTAATCCGCAAAAAAATCATTTGGGCAATTCTTATTTAATTTGCGCTAATTATCAGAGATAACAAAATACGCAGAACGTGGAAACTGGTGGTGCAAACGGAGATCAGATTTTGCCTCTGGTCTCTCTCGCGAAAGCTACATACACCGAGTCTTCTGCCAGATCGAATTTTTCTTCGTAAGATATCCGATGAACAACAATGAAATGTACTATGAAATAAAACCTCGAGTTTTTTATCAGCAAAACTTCGGCAGATATCGTGTGTTCGGGTGATTATTTAGACACTCGTAAAGAATGTTTTCTCTTTATCGCGTGTTTACGGAATTTTATTTATAAGAAATTATCTGTGAAAGTTAAAAACAAGTATTTTACGATATTGTTTCACTGAATGTTCATTTAAAGAGGCAAAACATTTGAATTCTGTGGAGAATTCTGTGAAGAACGAAAACAAAAAAAAACAGAATTATGCTTCACTTCCCATCGACGCAACTTCGAATCATCTTTCATTCTCAAAAAAAACACAGACTTGCGAGGGAAAAAAATATCGTAACGGAAATCCGCCGTTTTTTTTCTTTTATCCGGTACATGAAGAGATCGGAATGAACCGCACGAACTTTCTCAGGGATCGTTTCTCAATGTGGCGCCGCTTTCGCAGGATTGTCACGAGGTATTCACCAAGGAAGCACTGGAACTTTAAGCTTGCCATCGCGTATAATGGCGTTCGAGCTTCTTCATTATGCAAGCCAATCATGACACCAACTTCCTACAAGTCGTCCGCCGTGTTAGCTTTTCAATTATACATATAGCACTCCATTCGGCGCGGAAGGTCTATAGCTCATATTCTTGCTACACTCGTGGTCGGGAGGTGATTCCATTGTAGTTTTCCCGGTGAAAAAGATCGGTGTGTGTGAGTTCTTAAGCGCTTCTCTCTCTCTCTCTCTCTTTCTCTGAAAACAAGAGAGTAAAAAGTGAATAAAGTCGCGATCAAAAGTGTGGTAAAAATTGTAACGATTAAATCGCCGACTCTAATACCGGATCGTATTAAACATGATGTACGTAAGATCGTTTACTTTAGACTATAATGGCGAGTAAAACTTTCTTAGCGCTCTCGTTGCTCTTAGTCCAATGTAGAAAAGTTTGTTTTCGAAATTAATGATTATTTGAGAAATTAATGCGGAAAAGTTTCTTCAAAATTTATGATTGTTTAAGAAATTAATTGCTAATTGCGGTCTTGGCAAAATGTTTTTTACATAGAATTTAAATAACTTTTCCGCGCAAACTTTTTTACTTTAGTAGCGTACAACATTTTTATTAAATTAGTATTTCTTGTGTAAATTGAACGAAAAGAGAGCAATTAACGATCACAGTGTAAAATGAGAAGATATTCATCTAGACAGACTAATAATTGCGCTCGAGATATAAATCTCTCGCGATTATATTCTATTATATGTGTTATACTTATCGCGTTTTTTTTTATCGTAAAAGGAAAACAACGTCTCATTTGAAGGAGAAAATAACTCGTGATTGATTTAACAAAGGGTGTATCGCGCGGCCTCATTCAATTACATTGACTCTTTGCGTGGTCGCGGTGTTGTATCGAATTCATCAACATTGTTTGCGATGATGCGCGAGTCGATTTCGTTGCGCGCAGCGAAAAGCGAAGGACGAGCACGCGAGTTATGTAACTCAATATTTTTAGAACAAAACAACATCGTCGTAAAACACGTCTAAGAGCAAATTATCGATTAATTACCCAATAATTATTGTTGAGTAATTATAACTTTTCAATCATTCAATTAGTACGTCGCGTCGCGCGGCTGGGTTCAGGCTGGGACGACAAATTTTGCTGACACAAAATGTCATGTTCGTCCCAAGACGGTTATTTTTCTTTACACGCGATTGAGATATACGCGCGTGGGCGTTGAGTTCTTTTCCCCTCGATATCAATTCTTTTTAATCAGTTTCGTTGATAGGAAAAAGCCGCAGCGATACCTCGCCCATATTTTTTCTTACATCACAACTTTCCTGGTATAAATAAGTTACAAAGTCTACGCACACGTAGACCTAGACGATCAAACTTAGAGTTACAGCTTAGGCTGCCAATATCAAGGTGTATAGAACGTGGGTAAACCTCGACGGTAGCCTGGAGGCAAGACATGTAGCCTACGGCAATTACATGCAAATCTCAGCAAGTTGTGTCTAAAACCTCAACACTGTCACCAAGCAGCAGTTACCGTCCCGGTCAAACAAGGAATGATGCGAGTAATACATCGACCGATCAAATCAGCGATTAAAGCGCTAACGATTCTAACGTTGAAGAAAACTCAATCATGTGTGTTCGCGGATTAACTCGCGGATTATTAGAAAAAAACTGAGCAAGGAATAGAAATGCTCTTTGCAATAATATAGCAACAATATCCGAGATATTGTTTTTTCGTGACACAATTTCACAGACCAAATTATTTCATTCGTTCGATATATAATCGCGCGTGTCTATATGTCGATATCTTCCGATAATATTTTTCCTTTCTATTTTAATGTACACTTATCTCTATCTCAATTGTGACGGACACGTCAAGAGCTATCACATTTTCAGAAAAGCATAATTTTCTCTCGGCGTTCGACAATTGATCATCTTTTTCCTTTTGTCATTATTATTATTGACAGTTTTATTTTATTTCTATTTTTTATCTTTATTCTTTTTTCTCTTTATTTTTCACAATTAGTATTCGCTTATTCATTTACATACAAATACTCGCATTTCATATTTCCCTTTTTTTTTGTTTATTATTTTTGTTTTTAACAACGTTCTTTTATTTATCTTACGCTTGAGGCAAGTTTTTCAAAGCGTCCAATAAATAAAACGATATCTCTGTCTTTCTCCGGTTTATGCAAGTTTTAAACAAATGCCTGGAGAAAGCGCGCGCGGGTTGCTTGCTTTTGCATACGCGAAAATAAATCTAGTCTATCGTTTATTTCTCGCGATAAGACACTCTCTTATCTGTCGCCGAGTATGATGAAAAAAATATTATCTTCGAAAGATCGTCAAATATGAAAATATTATCTTCTTAAACGTCTGATTGAGAGATCGATATATATCTGTGTGATTCGAGCGACAAATAATAATACAGCGGCTACGCAGTTATTATCACGAAATACACACAGTCTTAACTCGGTGATACAGAGCGCCGAGCGCGTTGCGTCACATAACCGGTTTTCTGGTGAAATGTAGTTTTCGGTCTTCGCACACATTTTAATTAAATTGCTGAAAGTAATAGTTTTTTTTTTTTTTGTTTCGTGCGTCGCGATGACATCACCGAGATCTGAACTCGCGTAGCTCGCGCGTGCGCGTACGTTCGCAGACTGTGTCTGCGTGCGTTTAACATTTGTCATCTTATTATTATCTCATTACACGTAACGCGAGTAGAGATACGCGAACACACCATAATACATCGATCGAAATTTCGCTGAATATCTGCGCACACATCGCGATGGCTTATCGCTTCCTGCTCGCGTTGTATTTACTAATTAGTATCGTCTCTTTAAATCGGGCGTTGCGTAACGTCGATAGCGATGAAAAATTTCCGGGACCGATTTTCGCGCGTTACCGACTGCCAAAACAAATCGTTCCCATGTTCTACGATCTATCGATCTACACACGTCCGATCGAGGCGGATTACGACGGACGCGTACGAATCGTCCTGCGGGTGCTCGAAAAAATAGATTTTGTTGTGTTGCACGCGTACGCGCTAGTCGTAAACAGCGCGTCGCTGTCGGACAAATCCGGACGGTCGTTTCCGATCTCGCGATACATCTACGAGGAATACAATCAAATGCTCACAATTAAATTGGAGCGCGCGCTGGAACCGGGGGAGTACTCGTTGAAAGTAGATTTCAAAGGACGTATTGCGGACGACGTCTTCGGCTTTTACGCGAGTTTTTACGAAGTTGACGGAAAACTCAGGTAAACAAAAATCTCGTTTCGAAACAAGAAAAAGTCACGCCGTTTCGTAATTCTGCGTAATTTTTCTCTCTGTTATTTATTTTCTCTCTGATCTTTAATTAGTTGTCGACAGAAAAAAAGCAAAAAATATCTCAGCGGCACAGTTTCTCTATTAGATTCGCAATGTTTTTTTTTTTTTTTTTTTTTATAATAAATACGATCTGTTGGATGTAGACGAATCGGCGTAACGCAATTCTCGCCCATTTACGCGCGCCGCGCGTTCCCCTGCATGGACGAGCCGTATCTGAAGGCAGAATTCCGAGTTCGAATTGGTCATCACACGGATCAAATAGCGACGAGTAACACTCCGGTGGAATCTATAGTGAAGTTAGTTCACAATTGTGGTAGAAAAATTATTTTCCGTTTAATTTATTTGTCTGTGAACGTCCGTCAAGTGTCGAATCAAATTTTATGCTGAAAGATATGGGAAAGAGAGAGAGAAAAGAAAAATAAAAGAATATATAAACAATTTTGTCACCGATTCTTATAGAAACGGCACTTATTGCGTGACCACATTTCGCCGCACGCCGCGAATGCCCACGTATCTGGTGGGATGGGCGGTGCACAACTTCGTTCCGGAGCAATCGAGAATTTCGGAGATCTTCAAAATGTGGACGAGAGACTCGATGAAGTTTCGCGGATCGACGGCCTTGAACCGCGGTCAAGCGGTTTATTCGGCGTTGCAGACGTGGCTGTCGGTTAGAAGCCCGCTCGAGAAGATCGATCAGTTCGCAATACCGGATTTCAATTTTAACGCGATGGAGAATTGGGGTCTAATCACTTACAGAGAATCGGTGGTGTTGCACGAGAACGAGACCACCCCCACGAGAGTGATTCTGAACGGATTAATCACGATGGCCCACGAATACGCTCACAGTTGGTTCGGAAATCTGGTGACTCCCGCGTTCTGGGACGTCGTCTGGCTGAAAGAGGGCTTCGCCTCGTATTTTCAGTACTTGGGTGTCTCGTTGGCGATGCCGGATTTGAAGATGATGAATGTGTTCGTGATCGATTGCCTGCAGCCGGCGCTGCTCGCTGATTCCGACAATCACACGCGCGTATTGAACGGTCGGGATGTCGGCAGTCTCAACAGCATCGTGGCTACTCTAGATTTTGTTTCTTACAAAAAAGGTACTTTCTAGAAGAGAACATTGTTATCATAGAAAAACAAAACGCGCGTATATACATTTCTCCTCGTACAAATTTCACACAAATTTATTTTAAAAATATATCAAACATATACCTCGTGTAATGAAGATTTTAATGCGCGCGTGTTGAAAGCGATCGTTGAACAAGGAAAACTCGAAATATCCTTAAAACACTCTTGGCTCACATGTTTAACGAACGGTTTCTGTACTCGATCACTCGAGTAGTTTAGTTTTACGAGTGCCGTGTCATCTGTCTCCTACCCAACCTGTTGATCGTATCGTATTACGTGCAATAATATATCACGAGATAGATAATGATACTTGCGATCATGCGATAAAAAAGTACAATCCATTCTCGCAAATGGACACGTATTCAAATCACGAAAAAAAATTAATTATTGAAATTGATCTCAAATCGCGTTCCATCAGACTTTGATCATTCTTATTTTCGCACTTCAACAAATTTCTTGCGAATTGTTTGTGTGTTTCGATTATCAGTCTTCGCTGTATCTTTAAAACAGAAAATTGATATGAAGTGATTTTTTGTTCTATAAGTAAAATAATAAAAATACTGTTGAGAATATTTTTTTTTATTTACATTAGCATGTAATTTGGAAAGAGATTTTCCGTTCTTTTACGTTTCTGACAATTTTCTCCATCAAATATTTAATAGCCGAAAGCTTTAATTGTTTCAGGTGCATCCGTAATTCGTATGGTCAGTCATGTCGTTGGAAGCGCAGCGTTTCGATCAGGATTGCAAAGTTATTTGCGTGAGAAGTAAGCGACTATTTTCGCATATCTTTATAAATAAATTTTTTACGTGACAATCTAAAAAATAAATTACCAAATTGCAAGGATAATTATTAACGGAATAGTTTTCTTTTTATCAGCTTGTTACTGTTTTTATCATAAGAAGCTTCGTTTTGTCGTTAGATCGTACGAAGCAGCCACTCCGTTCGACTTGTATCGGCATCTGCAGATCGCGTTAGACAGATCAGGAATGCAATTGCCCGAGAACGCACTAATAAAAGACGTCATAGAATCCTGGGCGAATCAACCAGGCTATCCCGTAGTGACGATAACGCGAAATTACACGACAAAACTTCTTGTCGCCTCGCAAGAACGATTTTATTTGAACCGTCAATCGTCGCAAGCAGATTCTGAGAAATCCGGTTGGTGGGTACCGCTGACTTTTGTCACCGAAGAATCCCCGTTTTTCGATGAAGTTGATACGACGGCGTGGCTGAAGCCGCGAACCGAGAGCACGACGATTGGTTACTTCGAACCGAAGTCCTGGGTGATCTTCAACGTTCAGCAAGTTGGATATTACAGAGTCAATTACGACGAGACGAATTGGAAGATGCTCATCAGCTATTTGAGATCGAAAGACTTGGACAAGATACACGTGACAAACCGCGCCGCTCTTATAGATGACGCTTTTAACTTGGCCAGAGCCGGTTATGTAGATTATTCGATTCCGTTCGACGTTGCGAAGTATCTCGTCCGCGAGACAAATTACGAACCGTGGGTCGCCGCGATGAACAACTTCAATTTTCTCAATCGTATCCTCGCGGTCTCGCCGCGAGTGCAATGTCTTCTTCAGGTAAGAGATTTATCTTTTTCACATCATTATTCCCGCAATTAATTGACTTTAGAATTGCGTTGTTTGAAAACCAACTACTTGCGGAACTTCTGCTTTTAATAAGTTCAATTCACATTGCAGAATTACGTGAGTCGTGTGCTCGAACCAATATACGATCTTCTGAGTTTTACCGAAGATCCCGCTGACAATTCGACAACGAAATTGCATCGCGAGCTAATTTTATCAACCGCGTGCTTGGTCAACGACTCCCGCTGCGTGAGAACATCAAGAATTTTATTCAAGTCGTGGATTACCGCGTCCGAGAAAAGGTTTGTCGATTATCGTATAACAACAATCTTGTATATTTTAATTTATTTATAATATTAACTCTCGTTTGTTTTCCCACACATTGACAATAAATTTTAACTGATCTGATATTGCTCGAATTGTAGCGTGACTCATATAAACTGTGTTACACAGCTCAGGTTTTTAACAATATGACTTGCGAGTTTATCTTCGTAAAAAGGATTTTTTTTTCAGAGAATAATTTATCGATATAAAATATATAAACAAATATTTGTCTTCATTATATCTTATATACGACGTAAAGATATGTTATTACAATACATATGATACCACAATTGCAATATACAATTATAACAATAATAACTTTATATATAATAACAATAATAAGTAATTACAGCATATTATGATAATAATTTTACAATATATTACAATGATAACTTTATATACATGTTTATAAAATATAAATATATGTATATATATATATGTTTATATATGTATGTTTTTTATACAGTATACCGGCAAATCTAAGAAGTTTCGTATACTGCGTGGGTATTCGCGAGGGTGACGATAATGACTGGCGCGCGCTTTGGAACAGATTTCTACGCGCCGACTTACACACGGAGCAGGAGCTCTTGCTGAATGCGTTCGGGTGTACTAAAAGTCCACGTTTGATTGACAAGTGAGTTTCCGAGAATCAGATTAATACGCGCAGATAAGCGCGCGTAAGATCAGATACTAAATTTAGCAACTTTCTAGATATCTCGATGCGACCTTAATTAACGGAATAAAACTTCGCAAACAATACAGGATGACAGCGATCAACGCTGTTCTGAACGGCAATTTCGAAAACGTGAATTCTGTCGTCGATTATATCCGCAACAAGTTGCACACAATTCGCACGGTGTAAGTGCGCGTTTGCTTTTTAACATAACATTTTCGCACAAAAATCTCACGCCAGTTTTCGCTTTTACAGAAGAGGAGAGGATTTTGTTAAAAAAATTCTCACTGCTGTAGGCGATAAAATTACAACGGCGGGTCAATTGGACAAGGTATCTTGATATATTTAGACACATCGAGTCATTTGATTCGTGTGATATCGAACTCGTTACGCTTTTATATATATGTTTACGTGAAACTATAATGTTTCTGATCGCAGTTTCGGCTATTTGTCGACGAGAATATCGAAGAATTGGGATCGGCGTTGAACTCAGCGAGGAAAGCCATTGCCGTTGCCGCCGCAACCGTGGCATGGATCAATAAATACTTATCTGTGATTGAAAACGCACTATTCGGCAATTATTTATAATTATATGTGGAAATATTCAGATTAGTCTTATGTATAAACAATAAATACATACAAAAAAACAACCTTTAATATAAATTTTACTAAGTTCTTTTTTGAACCATAAAATGTACAGAGAGAATAAATAGAACAAATTGCAAGTATTTTAAACTATTATATTTGCGACGCACAATTCTCGTTCCTGGTATTTATACGAACAGCATATTTTCAGCACGCGCAGATAGCACAGAATTTTTTCAGAATTCAACCAACTAATCATAAAAAAAAGTTAGATGTGATAAATCACATCGCATCAAGTGCCAGATGCAAATTCAGAGCCAATTATGACTTATTCAACTTATTTGCGGAAGAATATAGGATTATGTACACGCGAATAGATAAAATCGATTGTGTGCGACAATATCAAAAGAGAAAACAGATAAGCAGAAAGACACTGTCACACGATTTGAAAGACGCTCACGTGTTTTTAGTTCGGTTGTAATTTAAACTGTCACAGTTTTTTTTTCTTTTAGTATCCATAAAATATATTTTCCTCTAATTGATTTTTTTTTTTTTTATTTAACCGTACGTTTGTGTCTGACACCACGTGAGATTTCCTTACAATGAAACAATTGACACTCAAGCATACGCAGGTTTTTGTCAAAGAACCGTCAGTTCTTCTATCAGTTTAATGAGAACGTGAGTTCCTGATGGAAGTTTTATTATTCGAAAGCAAAAATCATTATCGAACATTATTTGCAGAACTTGATAATGTTTTTCGATAGTAATCACCCGCGTGACGCGAAGAATTGTTACTTGAATTGATTACTCATGCGGAATTATCAGCGCGCACAATTATCGAACATTATCGAGTCTTTTCTTTGCTCGTTATCTTCCCTCTTATCTTTTTTTTATAATTTCGCGATTTTTACATAAAAATAATGAGGTTACCGTAAATGTTGCATAGATTTTTATTTGTTATCATTTCTTTAATCACTTGATCTTATCTGTGTTATACATGTATGTCCGCGACTATTTTTAACGTGTTCTTCTGTGAATTAATGATCAAATTCCTCTCGCGTATTCTTTTCAAATTTCGCACAGATCAAGATTTTTGTGTTTCCATTCAAGTTCAAATAATATCGCGGAAAAGAAGAAAGAAGGTGCGTTAAAGCGCGAAAGATTGTCGCAAAAAAAAAAAATGAAACATTCTGCGTATCTGAATCATAGCGTTCTGTCAATGATATACCAAGTAAATCAATCAGTTTTATCTCTCGCGCAAATATATTCCGTCGATAATGACAAGGACGTTCTTAATAAAACCTTTTACTGTACTATGTTACATTTTCAAAAGAGCTACACTTTAATTGATTCGCCGAAAGTTGTTTTTTGTTTTTTTTTTCATTGTGATAATTTACACATGTGTAAGTTTTTGTTTATAAAAGTGTCTTAATATTTGTTTCAGATTATGTTATATTTAGATTTAAAAAAATACATTCACTGCGAACGACATAAAAGACGTGTCAGTTAACTTCTGCAAATTTTTTTCTTCATTTTTAGTTACTTAAAGGATTACGTATCACGCGGCAGAATGATTGAGTACGCGCCGGCATTTTTAATAATGCGGGATTTTTATTTATTTTTTTTTTTATTTTTTTTATTCACGGAAAATCGATTTAGAATCTTCATAAAGCTCGCGACAAAACGTTGTTCAGCGTCTCGCTAAACCATTCGACTCGGTGCGGGAGAGATATCAGGTGATAAAAAAAAAAAAAAAAGAGATATCTCGGATCCGAGGCTGTCGTTGATTGGCTGGATAATAATCTGTTCGAGTTATCGCGTTATCGCGGCATTGTCGATGTCGAAACTTTCTGTCCGGGAAATTTTGCGAGTCTTGTCGCAACAGTCCACTTAGCGATCGCACTTCGAGGAGAATAATACACCTTCCGCAAAGCCCGGGAGGACACTCTCGCGATAAGATTAGAGAACCCGCGGCGATATAAGTTTTCACGATACGTTTCCTTCGTCTTATAAGGCGCGGGATTTTCGGTCGGACAGACTCTCGGTTCGCCTCTGCGGGTGCGAGGCATCGACCCCGTACGGATTATTCAATCAGGTACGTTGTTCAATCAATTGTATTAAAATCGCGGAAATTTGCGTGTTTGTTATGCAAGAGCAAATCTCCATACGGTGAAGAAGAATGTGAAGAATTTTTTTCATGTGCGTAGTGTGATTTTCGACTCATAGCGACCCATCGTGATTGTGCGCGAATTTTTATTCTTGTAGATTTATTTATCAGCATATTCACGTAACAAAATCGTCCAATATATCGCGAAGTACTTAATACAAATAATTAACGTTTTTTTCTCCCGTAACGCGAAAAACTCAATTCTATTCTGTTTTGTAAATTGTGTCCCATTCTCGTGAATATACTTTTCACGAACTAACGTAACATTTCTCTTATAAACCTGTTTTTTTTTCTTTTCTATTTTGCGATCAAATCAGAAAGTAAATTTACTTGTGCGCGAACGGGATGTTTTGCTGTGAAAACTTTAATTATGATTATTTTGATAATTTCGTAAATGTGTGTGGGCAAGTATCTTTTCTCAAGATCTCGCTTGAACGTGGAAGCAAATCGTCAGATGTGTCTTTTTACAGTATCTCTTAATCGCGTCTTAATTACAACAGGAATAAAAGATCGGTTCTCGCGCGTAAGAGAGTTCACAATTGCCAACAATGAGACGTCTACTGCTACTGGTGCTTGTTCTGGCGACTTGCTGGGCAGACAATCCCATTTTGGATCCCATTCTGAACGACGTACCTCCGCAACTCACTCAAGCCGTATCTGGCGATTACAGATTGCCAGAAGATATCAAGCCTCTTAAATACATCATCAAATTGACACCGACCTTCAAAGATACAGATAATTCAAGCTCTTTTCATTTCGAGGGTGAATCTTCGATCACTCTCGAAGTTCTAAAGGAAACAAACCAAATAGTATTCAATTCTAAAAATTTGGTTATAAAAGAAGTAAATCTGACACCAAAAAATGTATCTATTAAATCTGTCTCTCATAACGAAACAACTGAGCTCACAACGATTCTACTTAATCAAACGATAAATGCGAATACGACAGGCTTAAAACTTACTTTGACTTACAACGGAACGTTGAATGATAATTTACGCGGTTTCTACAGAAGTTCTTATAAGAAAGGGAACGAAACAAGGTAAGACAAGATAAATTTTTATTAATATTTCAATTTGTGAAACGTTTACAGTAAATATGTGTTCAAATACAAAAACTTCAAAGAAAAATGTATTAGTACAATTACGTTATTTCAAAACAAATCTTACATCGTTAATGTTCGAATATCTATTGCATTTAAAGAAGAGTTAAGTTGTTCGTTTAAACAAATTAAGAGAATTTCATCGTCTCGTTTATTTAAACACACATGTGCAAAGACTGGAACAATGTCAATTACTCTGACCGGCAAAATCGGAAGATCCGAGTTTTCTTATTGACTTGAAGCGACTGTTTTAATTTTAACAGCTACAAAAAAAACCTTTATTTCTACTCAGTACTCTGATCTATTTTCAGATGGCTCGCGACGACTCACTTCGAACCGACAAGCGCGAGACAAGCCTTTCCGTGCTGGGACGAGCCCGCAATAAAAGCAACATTCCAAATTAGTATCAAACGTCCAAGCAACACTTACCACGTGCTTTCGAATACTTTGATGATTAAAACCAATAAGACAGATGGATACGTGGAATTCGAGGAAACGCCGGAGATGTCCACGTACCTCGTGGCTTTTGTGGTTTCGGATTTCACTTCGAATCAAAACAAGGATAGAAATTTTAGCGTTTGGTCAAATCCTACCGTGAACAAAGAAAGTAGGATGTTTGCTCTTAAATATGGAGAAAAAACGCTTAAAAAATTATCAGATTTCACTAACTATCCCTACAACAATAATATGAAGAAGATGGACCAAATTGCGATTCCACAGTTTGCAGCTGGTGCTATGGAAAACTGGGGTCTCGTGACATACAGGTAAGATCGAGCCGATCAAGGTTCAAGGTTTTTCGGATCGTTATCTCATCGGTATAAAGTCCGCGACAGTTTTATCTCGAGTTCGCTGACTCATTTCTACTCGTAATCTATTCTCTGTGATTAAAACTGCTTGTAATATATGTTTATTACGATTACTTGTAATACCGATTTTTTTTACGATAAAATATAAAGAGTTTTTTATCGCGGCAAGATTCGTGCGAACAAACATGCGGGGACATTTCTTCGAGTTTGATTAAAAAATTAGAGAATCGTTTTCTCGAATGAAACCGCGTGACACTGTCGCCGGTGTGTACAAAAAAAAAAAAAAAAAAAAAAAATTGCTATATTATTTAAGGGAAAATGCGCTTCTTTACGACAAAGAAGTCGATACCACAGAAGCCAAACAGAGTGTGGCGACAGTAATAGCTCACGAATTCGCTCATCAGTGGTTCGGCAACTTGGTGACTTGCAAATGGTGGAATTCCATTTGGTTGAATGAAGGATTTGCGACCTTTTTCCAGTATTACATTCCCGACCTGATCGAGGAGAAAGAGGTACGAAATTGCCAGACGCTTTGACAGACAGTTATCACAACGCAACGAACTTTGCGTAAACAAAATCTATAGACGCAAAATTTCCGTAGACTCGTACATTTCGCAAATGTGTCGTAATTTTTTTTTTTAGATCTTTTTCTACACCTTCTTCGCAATTATATAATTTAATTTATATTTGCGACTAAAATATTAAAACTTCGCTTTTACGTACTGTAAAGTATTCAACACTGTGTGATTTGATTATTTCACTATGTTAGAAGTTTATTTTTTTTTTTTTTGACATCATTGTGAGAAATTGTAAAACGATATAACACAAATCTAACCTGGCGGTCGAAGTAATCGGTAATTTAATTGGCAGACTGGAGTCAAGGACAACTGGCGTCTTATGGAACAATTTGCCGTTAGAGCTTTGCAAGCATCCGCGTTTGTTGTCGATGCAAAAAAAGATACTCGCGCATTAACCGTAGACGAAAACACCATACAAACTCCTGAGCAAATCAGCAATCTGTTTGACGATATTGCTTACAGAAAAGGTATATAAAAAAAACACTTTTTTTACGAAACAATTCAAACAAGAGATCTGTTCATTCTACTTGTTTTTTTTGCAGGCGGCTGTATTCTTCGTATGATGCAACAATTCTTGACGGAAGAAGTCTTCAAGTTGGGACTTCAAGGGTATTTGAAAAAGTAAGTCGTGTTACAGTGTAATCGTGTATTTATATAATTGTTTAAAGACAGTTTTTACGCGAAACGAAGAGATCGACGAGGTGACTTACAAAAGTATCCGTAATTCCAGTTATAAGCATGAGTCTGTTCAACCTGATCAGCTTTTCGATGCCATGTACAAGGCACAAACAGACAACATAAAAAAACTATTGCCTGATAAAATCGAGTTCAAGGACGTCATGAATAATTGGGTTTACAAACCTGGATATCCTGTTGTCACCGTCACGAGAAATAAGACCAGTGTCAAGTTGACGCAGGAACGATTTTTCTTGGACTTCGCGCATTCGGACGATACAGCGTGGTACATACCCATTACCTACGTCACAAACAAATCATCTAACAAAAAGTTGTACTGGCTGAAGCCCAACGAATCTCTGGTACTGCCATTGAATGAATTTGAACCGAACAACAGCTGGATACTTTTCAATAAAGACCAAACGGGTATGTACATTCTTTTTATATTGTATATATTTGTTATATTATATTTCATATATTTATGTATCCTTTTTATTACATATAGTTTATTATTGTTATTGTTATCGCGTCGCGCGGTCGTTGTGATTGGCGGTGAAGCGTGTCGATTGATTTGATTCGCGAAAATAAAACGCGAGGCAAAAGAAAAATGTCGGAACGGAATTAAATAAATAATAAAACTATATTTTAGGATACTATCGCGTCAATTACGACGACGAAGGCTGGAAACATTTAACGAACTGTTTGAGCGACGTCAAATGTCATCAGAACATAAGCGCCGTCAGCCGAGCTCAGTTGATCGACGACGCGTCGAATCTCGCGCGCGCAGGACACACAAGCTACAACAATTCGCTATCGGTTACGGTTTATTTGTCCCATGAGACAGATTACATCCCGTGGTACGCGGCCGCCAGAACGTTCGATTATCTCAACGACTTGCTATGGGGCACCAACGTCTACGAGAAGTATCAGGTAAGCTAAGTAAACATTTTATTGTTGTTTACTCCTCTCGTGCAGCTTCGCTTCGCGCAAATCAAATGGACGAAATATCCGCATATCGGAAACGCGTCTTTGAATTTCAGGAGTACGTCTCTCAGAAAGTGCAGAACTTTGCAAAAAAACACGACTATAAAAACAGTACTGGCACGCACGTGGAAAAACTTGCCAAGGCGCTGGCGTTCAAACTGGCGTGCAAATATGGAAAGAAGGGCGACTCGTGCGTGAGCTATGCGGAAGAACAACTGGACAAATGGTTGGAACCGAAACCAAACGACACTAAAATGTAAGCCTCGTGAAATTGCAATTACGATTATCGGACCGAAGAGAAGTACTGAGTTACTGACAAAATTGACTCGACTGTGAAACGCGTGAAATGTATCGCGCGCGAATTAAAAGAAATCCGGATCCGTAAAACGCGATCCAGCGAATGACGCAAACATTTTTTTCGAAATTATTTCTACCATTTGCAAAAATCGAAATTCGTTCGTTTACCGCTCAGATACTTGCACTTGGTTTGTTAATATAATGCATATTTTACGCCTTTGATTTATAATAACTAGTGACAAGCGCTGGTTTTTGTAGATGGCAGGATTTGAAGAATGACATATTGTGCGTTGGATTGCGACACGCAAACTATCTGACATTGGCCAACGTTCTAGACAAGTACCTCAATAGTACAGGTGACGAAAAGAAAGCTATTTTGAATGGACTTGGTTGTAATATGAATAAGAGCATGGTAATCACTCTTCTCGAGATGAGTATCACCACAAAAGAAGAGAATGTTTTCGACGCGATGGCTTCAGTACATTCGAACAATCCCGGATCTTTTGATGTTCTCTTTGAATTCATTCAACGAAATATCACACAAATCAAAGAAAAGTAATGATTTTGTTTGTTATTTTTTTTTATTTTATTCATTACACGGAATTAACAAATAACATTCAATGGAAATCTTTCATAGGGACACGCCGGAAGGAACAGGTCTCGCCGGCACTCTAAATAAACTCGCCACCAAAGTCAGAAGTGACGAGCAATTAGCCAAGGTAAAGTGTTTGTTTTATTTTTCAGACTTTTATTTATTGTGTTTTTTTTTTTTTTTTTTTTTTAAATAAGAAAATTTTATTTTTGTTGCTTTTTTGAACAAAATAATACGTGATACACATTAGCTTAGACTCATCGTTTATCTCGTACACAACAGGAAACTTCATTGTGATAAGATAAACAGAACACAAAAATTTTTATTACAAAGTTTGTATCAGTGTCATTTTCAATCAACGTGTATCTGAGCATTGCACTCGTCGAACGTGTGTGTCGAAACATTAATAATTTCGAAATTCCTGTTTTTCTCTCTTTAACATTTTTCTCTCCACACATTTTTTGAGCAACGCGACCGAACCATATGCAGATATCGGAACAGCCGCGATAACGTATCTTTTGTGTAACAAATTTTTACTAATTAGAATCTGCGAGAGAGATTCTTTTTATTCTCTATCTTGTCCGTGATCGCGCTTGTATCTTATCTGGATTGATTGGCAGTTGCGCAATATCCGCGAAATATCGTATCTCGTTGGCTCTGTTTAATGCGCAAATTGCGATCAGCGGAGGATCTCCAAATAGCAACAATAACAAACATTAATCTTCCGCGGTATAACACATCAGTTTCGGAAAATCGCTTTTAATCGTTGAGTAAAACAATTCTCACTTTGAATGTTGGTCATATTAACCCTTTCCCGTATAGGAATTAGTTTGGCAAAACGCGGACCAAAGAAGAAAATTAAGTTTTTCGCAAAACGAGCCAAAATGACAATTTTTTTGTTTTTCATATTTTTTCACATTTAGTCCATAATTGTAATCTGACACGCGTCAGTTTCGGAAATTCCACGATGTGTGAACTTACATTACGCGTTGCACGTCGAGCGTATCTTGATGCGGGATCGCGAGGGATCGCGATCATTTACAAAATCGAGATGTGTAAACATATTTTTACACATCGTGAATTGTAAAGAGACGCTCGTAGAAATGTGTGTCTTTGTATTTTCAGCTGGTGTTATTCGCGCACGAACATCTGGAGGATGAGCAGACGACGAAAGCAATTGTTTCCGCGGCAAACAATCTCAAGGCAATCAAATCCCACCGTGATGAAATATCCAAATGGGTGGAGAAGCAACCGACCTCAAAGGAGAAACCGACGGAACCAAGTTCCGCGAGTTTTGTCAGTCTGACATCGTTTCTTATAATAATCCCGATACTGCTCACGCGATTCAACTAAAGACAGTGTTTTATTTTTTATTTTTTTTAATTTAATCGACATTGTTTGATATCTTCAATCGATGTCGAACTCAATCGCGTTCTCACAGCTCGGTGTGACATTTTCTCAATTTTCTTAAAAAAAAAAAATAATAATAACGTCACTTCCGAGACATTGTTGTATTCTCGTTTGCAAGCTGGAAGACGAAAGAAAATGTCGCGCGCGAGTTTGTGCGTCTTATGTACAATAATAATTTACCTGACCTGAGTTTTTAATATTTTTTGTTTATAATTGTTTATCGCAGAACGAGTTGTAAAAAAAATCGCGCGCGCGCAACTCGCGCGTACACAATTTCGGCTGTCGTAACACAAGCTGAACAACATCGCGATTTTACTTGCAAACAAATTAACGCTCCAACACACAAAACAGATGCGTAATTTTGTGTACCGCGAGACAGATTAACAGCATTTTATTATCACATTAAACTTTTATAAAGACATGTACTATATTTATACATAATTATATGTCACAATTGTAAATATATACATATTGATTGTTATTTATATACACCACCTATATGATAATACAAATAATTTTATTTTACTTTATACTTATTATTTATGTTCTAAAATAAACGGAATGAAACAGACTGTAAAAAAACCTCTTTTTCGTGAAGTTTTGACGATAATGCGATCGCAAAAAAAAAAAAATATTACAATTTTGCGCGTAAGTGGCGACGAATATATGCGACAAGTTTTTTTCTCGCACACATTTTTGACAATATCAGCGCCCGGATGCAAAATGTGTTTAAAAAACACAACAGATAAAAACACAAGCTCGATATTGCACAGCAATAAATAATCACATATTTAGATTAAAAAAACAAAAAACAAAATTAGATTATTTGTTCAAAGATGCAAAGAACGTTTCGCAAATTAGACGAAAACGTTTCGATCAACACCGGATCTTTCTCTCAGACGCAATTAACATTGACGGGTGCGATCAAACGCACGAGGGAAAAAAAAACCTCGAAGGTGCGAACAAATATAAATTTGACGTTACATGTCGTCGTCTGAACGAGAAACGATCACAACACACGAGAGTCGAAATAACATATCGTTACATTTTTTGAAATGTAATCGGTTGAAGTATCATATTTCAAAGGTCAGAGAAAAACTGCCTATCAAACAATTCTAGCGTATCTCGTCTCTTCTTACAAAGAAAACATTTCCGGAAGGATTTTCGTTGTGTTGATCAATATAAATAGAAGACCGGATTCCTTTTGTACTTCAGAAGCGAAGGAACCTCTTGGGCGGAGAGGTTCTTTGTTAAGTAACAAGCGTGCATAGAGTTGCCGCGCAGTTTGGTAAAATTCAGTGCGAATTAACAGATCGGAGATTTTTATTCGCGCGAGTACGGAAGAACGTAAAAACACGCTCGCAATGTAACACGTTGATCGATAAACGAAGAAAATCTGAATAGAAACGTCGCTTCCGCGGCATTTTCAACATAATCAATTGTCATTAATTCAAATTCAAATCGTCGTCATTGAATTTGCGACAGTGCGATGGCGTTTCCGAGACTGTTGACGAGCGTATTGATACTTGCCGCTGCGATTGCTCTTTCCGAAACATGGGAAAATAATACGTATGAGTATCGTTTGCCAGAGAACGTAGCGCCCGTTCACTACGACATCAAGTTAATACCGTACATTGAAGAGGGCAACTTCACTTTTGACGGCGAATCCAGCATCGTCGTCGAGATTCGCCGGACTACGAGAGAGTTGAAGTTGCACATCGTGTGGTTAACAATCGACGAAACTGCGACAACGCTGATAAGCAACAACGACAGTTACACGCCGACAAATCATACGTATTGCAGTATGACGCAGATGTTAACCCTTACTTTCGATAATGAGCTGTCACCCGGCGTTTACACTCTACGTATGAAATTCGCCGGTGTTCTGAAGAACACTCCCTACGGTTTCTACGTAACGTCGTATATCAACGAAGAAGGACGGAAAATGTGAGTAACTTCGATAGATTTTTAATCCATAATTGCTTGTTATTTTTTTCTCTTTGTCGCTATTATTCGTTGGTCATCTTTGTCATCACCAAATCTCGAGAAGTTTGTATCAAAAACAATTTTTTAGTATTTTTTAATATTTCTTATATAATTTTCAGATCACATGTAAGTTGACTGAAATCATTTGTTTTTTTTCTAAAAGAGAAATTACAATCAGAAAATGAATTTTCTGAATTTTCTAAATGATTTATGATGGTACTTGTATTTTGTAAAAATTATATTGTGTAATTGTAAATATAAGCGTTTTTTCTGTTATTTCAACACACTACGTTTTAAATCAACGAATTTCACAAATGCGTTTACTCATGTGAAATTTATATAACTCTTTATCGGGCACGCAAATTTTCATAAACCGCATTTAGACGTTTCCCCAAATATGTTATCATTCTCGTTCTCACTCAACTGGACGAAAATGTGTGTCGTTATCGGAAACGTGTCGTTGAAAATGTGACAGATGGTTGGCCTCGACGAATTTCGAGATGAGATGGGCCCGTCACGCGTTTCCCTGCTGGGACGAGCCGGCGTTGAAAGCCACTTTTAATATCTCCATAAAACACAATCGCAATTACACGGCTCTGTCGAATATGCCGATACGAGAACAAACGGAAGACGGCAGTGAGGATGGAATGATATGGACGCATTTTGAGAAGACTCCGATCATGTCCACTTATCTGGTGGCGTTCGTCGTGTCCGATTATGTTCGAATTTCCAATGAAGACGGAACCGTCAATACGTGGTGCAGATCCGCCGTGACGCCGTACGTAAAATATCCTCAGGAAGTTGCCACAAGAGCGAAACAGTTACTGACCGAATACACCAACATTACCTACAAAGTTCCGAAAATGGATCTTGCCGCGGTACCGGAACTCGAATTCACCGCTATGGAAAACTGGGGACTCATCATCTACAGGTAATGCGCGCGATTTAGAAGAAATATATTAATATATTTGTTTATCGTTATTTTTTATATACATCAGACAATTTTTGTCATTTGAGATTATCAAGATTTGTTTTATTCTTCAATGTATGTTGTACGTCTTACAAGAAATATCAGATTTTTGTTACTAACACAAAAAAGAAAAAGTAAATACTTATATCGTAATTATATATATATATATATATATATACATGTATAGATTGTTTTAAAAAAAAGATAAAATATTTTAAGACGTCCCGAAATAAGTCAAAAAATTATAATAAACATGGATTTGCAAATTTGTTTTTTATATATTTTTATTTTTTCACTTTTATGTTTACATATAAATTATATACAGTTGCATTTATTTAAAAAATAAAGACAGACATATCTTTAAAATAAAACACAAATACATTTGCATTTTCGTAAACAATGTTTAGAGAACTGTCTCTTTCATATAACGAAGAATCAGATACTCTATATCACAAGCATCATGTAGGAGAAGTTGTAGCACATGAAATGGCGCATCAATGGTTTGGTAATCTGGTCGGTCCTTTATGGTGGACTGACTTGTGGTTAAGCGAGGGATTTGCAACGTTCTTCGCATACTATATTCTCGATCAGGTTAGTTCACAATATGATTTACCACGTTCTTTTTACTTTAGCGCTTCTTTTATACCGCAGAATTGCTGATTTTAGTTAATCGAGTTTTATTGATACCTTTGTCTTTTTTTTATGTTTCTTTTAGATGTATAAAGATTGCCGAATAATGGAGCGCTCCGTGGTTTTCATTCAGCACAACACTCTTGAGTTCGATAACGTTGAGAATAAAATTCTAGTGCCCGTCATGTACGAACTCGAAAACTTTGAAGAAACAGATTCACTTTTCGGCTCAATTATGTACAAAAAAGGTGAGATATACTAAAATAAATACAAAAATGTCAGCCAAATGTTTTCTCCAGATGCCTAAGCAAATAAACAAAAGCAACAGTATAGAAACAATTTATCTGCGGTTTCTCCCGAGTGTTCTCCCTTTTGTCTTCAAAAAATGAAACAAGAGTATTTTTTTTTATTTTTAATATTTAGAAACCCCTGTCTGGTCAAATAAATCAAAGATAAGGAACAAATTTAACACATTACAATCACATTTTGTCATGTTTAATTACAGCATTCTGCGTACTGCGCATGATTCAGAATATTATTACCGAAGATGTATTTCGCAAGGGTGTTATTAAATATTTACACGCCCAGTGAGTATTATTTTATTTTGTAATTTAATTTTATTTTTATGCGAGTGTAGTTTTGTGGGAGAAGCACTTATGTACCACATGTGTGACGCTAATTTATAATTACTTGTACACGGTCATTATGTTATTTAGTCGATAATCCATCGGCAATAATTTTTCCTCATTTTTACACTATTTTATTTCACACGCGACGTAGTCAGTTTGGCTCAATTACCGCCGACGACTTGTGGAGCGCTTTCCAAGAGGTATTGAACGAATCGGACGTTCCGCATGACGACTACAAAGTAAAGGAGGTGATGGACACCTGGATAAAAAAACGTCATTACCCCGTGGTGTGCGTGACTATGAATTACGACACCGATGAAGTGTTATTGACGCAACGGCATTTGCGTTCGGGAAGCGAAATCAACAAGTACGACGACAAGTGGTGGATACCCATCACCTTTGCAACGCGATCAAATCCCGATTTCTCCGCGACTGCACCTACCGTCTGGTTGAGACCGCAAGATCGCCACGTAATTTTAAACGGAATCGAGCCAAATGACTGGATCGTCGTCAACTTGCAGTCGATGGGTAAACATCTGTTTTCTGCACGCGTAACGCGCGCTTTTATATATTGTAGAAAATTTTTTTTTTCCGAACAAGATCGTTAACTAATTTTACAGGATATTATCGCGTCAATTACGATTTGTACAACTGGCTGAAAATTGTGAATTGTCTCAACTCGGATGATTATGTGAAAATACACGTGCTCAATCGTGCGCAGCTCATAGATGACGCCCACTTCTTCATGTGGACCCATCAGCTCGACGTTGACACGTTTCTAAGTTTAATAACATACTACGAGCGAGAAACAGATTTCATAGCGTGGCAGCCCATGTTTGCACTTTTCGAAAGTAACGCGCAAGTTTTCAAGTTTCCCCAAACTTCTTGTCTGCAGGTAAGTGAAAAGATTTTACACACATTTTTTTTTCTAATCACGAAAAAACATATTGACTAAATACAATAAAAAAAAAAGTTTAATAAACGCAGTACATGTCTAGAAATGAAATATATGATTTATAATAGTTAATAAATGTTCTAAACGCGCAAATATAAAAATAATATTGCAGCATTTCACAATTTTTTCTAGCGATTCTTTGCTAAACTGATGAATAACCTTATTGAAAGCATGGGATACGAAGAAGATCCGGCCGATGATGATTTCACGAAGATGAATAGAATGTCGGTTTTACGATGGGCGTGCGCTTTCGGTCACGTTAAATGCAAAACTATGGCCACTACTTTACTGAGTCAACATCTAGCAGATCCCGAAACACACAAGTAAAATATTTTGTTAATAATAATTTAAAAAAATAAATAAACACACGTGCGCCTTTATGCAATATTTTATTCTTTAAAAGTCTGAAGAGATCGATTGTCAGAGTGCTGATTGTACGCGTTTACTTGCTTTTTAATTATTTTAACAAAATATCAATGTACGTTTTTACAATTTAATTTCAATGTTAAATAATATTCTATTATTATTTACGTGTCGTCAGAGTTTCGCCAAATTTAAAGGATTGGATATTCTGTAATGGCCTGGCGGGAGCGAACGCATCTACTTGGAATAAGTTCAAGGAGACGTACGTCAAGAATTCAGATATGATACTTCTGCGATACCTGACTTGCTCCGATGATCCCGATATTCTCATTAATTTCTTGGACACGTCTCTATCAAACAATTCATTAACGAATAACGACTACAAAATCATATACAGCAGTATCATTCGGAGACACGTGAACAATGACTTAGTCCTCGATTATTTATTGGCAAATTTGAACAAAACAATCTCCAGGTAACGATATATGCTTCCAGCAGCGTGTGTGCAATTGTAAAACACATTGTTTATCTTCTGCAATGTAGTCTGTAGTTCTTCTGTAACACACACGTGCATTTTTTCTTTTTAGAGGATTTTCACTGACAGGAATAATTGCGGGAATTATTCACAATACGCATTCTGCCGAACGATTTGAAAAGGTAAAAGATTTATCGTTATCTCAAATCTCATTTCTAGATTGTAAGTTACCGAATTAAATGCGTTTACTTTTCTCAGTGAGGTCTAAATTGCAACTGAATATTTTAGATAACCAACTTCGTGAAAAGTAACTTCGACAAGATATTCGAAAAGATCAAACCCATGTATTACCACGAAACCGATTTAACATGGTCCAATTTAGTCTATACATTTCGACCGGCGTGTGCTTTAATAGAGTAGATTAGAGCGTGAAACGATAAGAAAGTAGCAACTACATGTGTAATAATAACTCAAAGAATCACACTCACAAGTTCCAATGTATTTTCTGTATTAGTACGTAGACACGGCGTGTCGGGGATCTTGATGAAATTTCGAATAAACTTCAATAAAATTTGTTTCACGACAACTTATTTACGTCGCACACACGAGACAATAGTTTCAAGTACGTATTTTAAAATACAAAACTGAAGTCGCGATATATGATATACTTTTTTCCTCTCCCCCCTTCTCCCATGTAATATTGCTCATTTTATACTTTGCATATTTCCGCATATTTGTAAATTATAATGTGCGATTATAAACTCGACGTCAGAGTTTTACGCGAAGCATGGGTCAGTCAATAAATAATTCAAGCCGCAAACGGCGCGCTGTATTGCAACGCGCTATACTACCGCATGTGACGTACGTTTGATCGTTCGTTCTAAACATTTGCACAATACGATTCGTGACAAACGTTATAAATAGGAGATCGGACTTACTTTGTACTTCACAAGTGAAGGAATCTGTGCGAAGAGGAAGATATCGGAGCAAATGTGAGACCAAGCCTGTGACTCTGCACAACGCTGTTCAGCTTCGATTCCTTCCGCGCGAATATCGCACGGAACACACAGAAAGGTAACGTGTCACGCGTATCGGCAAAAATATCAGAAACTCGTTCGAACAAAAAATGGTTGTAATTTTACTCCGGTATTTTTGATAATTATCGCATAAGTATTTAAAGTCTTTTTACGTGTGTTAATCATCACCTCGTTTTAAGTAATTGGTAATTATGCAGTTATACGGACTATTTTCCGATCTCAACAATTTTGACATATGTTATCAAGGTCACCTCCCTGAATAAT